TTATTAACAAAAGTGGTAATCGTGCGGAGCCCTCGAACTACCGTCCAATCACTCTCCTCCCTGTGTTATTCAAAGTATTGGAACGTATAATTGCAAAGGCGCTCATGGGACACATTGGGAGCAACAGCATCATAGTGTCAGAGCAGCATGAATTTCACCGAAATCGGTCTTGCACTACAACCTTGCTTGTAGCCCCAGCAAGCCTGACAGTCATTGATGCTAGAATAAGAGTTCATGTCGTCTGCTTGGACTTCTCGAGGGTTCGATCGTTTAGACCACCGCATTCTCCTCCACAATCTTCGGAGCTATGGAATCGGTGATCCTGTTCTCGGTTGGATCGGCAACTTGTTCACTCAACATCAGCTGAATGTGAGAGTCCGTGCTCCATTTCGGACCCAAATGATGTCCAGTGTGGCGTGCCCTAAGGATCGGTACTGGGGCCACGTTTATTCCTAGCATTTATTAACGATCTTGCTAGTGTACTGCAGTCGAACTTCTTACTATTTACAGATGATGTCAAAATTTGGCATGATATCAGGACAATGGATGATCGCATGGTAATGCAGAGCGATCTCGACAGGGCTTATGCGTGGTCATCCGATAACCTGCTCCAGTTCAACGTGGCAATGTGCAAAGTCGTGAGCATACGCCATCAGAATATCTATGAATATCGCCTGGGGAACAGCAGTTGCAACGTGCTTCGCAGGATAGCGACCTCGGGGTGATCGTGCAGAACGATCTTTGCTGCTCGAAACGGGCTGAAAAGACATCAAAAAGGGCTAGTCAACATATTGGACTCTTACGCAGGGCTTTCGGAAATTACGAACCATCAGTCTTTCCGCAAATGCTGAACGCCTACGTAAGACCCCAGATGAAATATGCGATTCAGAACTGGCGTCCCTGGCGCAAGCGCGACATCAATGCACTTGAAGCTTCACAATGTAGAGCAACCAAACTCGTTGGAGAATTGGTTCATCTCTCCTACCAGCGCAGACTGCAGTTTCTGAGATTGTACAGTGGAGAATATCGACGTCAGCAAAGAGACCACATCATGGTTTACTTAATATTGACGAACTCAATTCACCCATGTCATATATATATATATATATATATATATATATATATATGTAAATGCATGACTTAACAACAGACACAGCTAAACACTTATCTCACGCAAGTGCATAAGCATAACTGTACTAATGATCTGTCCCCATTACAGGAACAATTGCTCGCACATTCGAACTATGTACAAATTGTCATTACCATTCGTACCAGCAGTTACAGCTGGTACGAAAAGAACCGATGGAAATGCTAACTACATTAAACGGGAAGATAGGAATTTTCCACAGAAGGGAAGTACACTGCGTCATTACTTTCAACAGCAGGAACAAAAGACGGAGAGAGTAAAGAAAACACACTGAACCTGCGTAAGAACAGGATTGAACTTTCTCTGGTGACGGTGCAGCAGATCTCTGTGAAATGGAGAAAAATGTGTTCATGAGAGATAGGCTGAACAGAATCAATCAGTTTCATAAAATGTAAGTTTCTCAATGATTGGTGCCACCGAGAGTGATAAAATGGATCACACTATGAATGTGGGGTATGGTGGCGAAATATGTGTGAAACTCGATGTACTCGTATCGCAGAGTACTAAAAATTTAACTAATTCATCTGTAGGTAATAATCAGTAAGACAACCTTAAGACTGAATTAGGAATCAAGTATAGAAGAGGAAAAGTACAAACAAAAATAAGAAGGCGAAAATGCCACGATCAAGCCCAGAAACACAGTGAACCAGTCACCAGATAAACAGCGATAATTGATAGATAGTGTTACAACTACTCATAAGGATATTAACGGAAAAGTGGAAAGCATTAAAGGAAAAGTAACGAGGAGAGATAAACTGAAACATATGTTAGAGTTGAGTGGCACACAGAAAGCAAAAAGACGATTGCCCGAGCCAATCGGGTGAGGCCATAAGCCATAACTAATGGCGTTAATAAATGATACGCGACGAGATAGTAGGTCAGTTAACAGATGCGAATGCAATGAAGTTGATCTGCAGAACATAAACTGGGATTTGAATCTCAAAATAAGCGGTGGGGACAGTAATTTATGCACATCAGGAGTAAGGCGATGAAGATGAGAACAAAACCCAAGACAGTAGATTTCATGGGAACCGTGGACCAAGAGCTAATCAAAACTCATGCAAGCGGAGGTCAGATTTGAATAAAATATTCACGTCGCGATAAAACGAGTGTGACTGAGTAGAGCGAATACTGTTGATGACAACTCGCTTCAAACACAGTGACGGGGAAAATGTTAGAACAGAAACGGAGTTCCTTTGGCACACAGTAAAAGAACGATGGGCTGCGTTTGATAGTGGGAGAGTACAATCCATGTGCACCACCTTGCAATCACTAATTTCAATTCAGTTGGACCTCGGACAAAAGTGCTTAGGCCCTCCAAAACGCTATCGAGGGGAAGTTGATAGCAACTGTACATCAGTCGAAATAAAATATGCACAAATGGTTCGGAAACTCAAAATATGTGCACTAGCACCTTACACAGATGCATACTAGACACGATGGTCACAATCCGGAAAAATAAATTTAGATGTGCGCACGGCTAAACAGACAGTATAAAGAATCTTCGGCAGATTAACCCGAGGAAAATGTAGTTTCTCGTGGTAACCTGTATGCGTTGATGTCCAAAACACGAGTAACCATGAAAATAACGCTCCGATATGATGGACAGTCAGAGAAGAATACGTACATAACCCATAGTTTTTCCTTTACGTCTAGCGGGGTCACAAGTAAAACAGCAGGAGACAATCAACCATCCAAACCAATTGCATTATTCCAAATTGTGACATACAATTTCAGCAAACTGTGTTAGATTCGACCGCATGCGACAGTCGCTACCATGAAACACTCAGTCGGAGTTAAAGTGCACTGCGCATCCGAAACTCGAATACAGATCAACAGCGTTATAATGCATTCGCGTTTAACAGACGCAGAGCACATAAACTTAAACCCTCCGCTGAAACCGAACTCATGGCTTGGGACGATGTCAGAACGGCTACTAGCAGACGTGCGCAAGACGAACCCCAAAACAACGGATGCAAGTGAACAGTTACATAGATGCATTACAATTTGGAAAGGCTCGTCGGAACCAAAAGGCAGGCCAAAGATCTGGTACCTGCCTGCGGTTTCGGTATGCGTTCCAAAGGTCTGCAACCCGGAGAGACGGTAACAAATTCATTCGGGCAAATGCTTTATCGAATTTGAGTCAGCAAAGGTGTGAAATGAATACTAGTTGCGGATTATATGAATGAACAAGTCAATCTCAAAAGTGAGCCAGCACATCACATCATAGACCATTTTGTGGTAGACGCTTGTCATGGGGACTAGTTGCCTCACTTATACATTGGCCACAAATTCCATATAAGCATCACAGACTCCTGAACGAGCGTCCACGTGTCGTTGCAGAGTAGCGATTGAGTGACACAGTGCCGTGGACTCCAATTTACCACAACCACAGACAGGGAAAACAGAAGCAAATTTCGTTACTAGTTTTCTTGTTTCAGGTTAGTCGAAGTTCCACCTGAACTCTTAGGACCGGGAACGGCACGTTTATCTTATTAGAGTACTACGGTTATGATATGATGGGTCTAGTAGTAGAACTGTTCAACTTCAGTGCAGACACTAGACGAGAGAAAAAGCATCCCAGTTGTCAGATTGGATTAACATGAAAATACTGTCAATCATACGGATAGCATTTCGGACAGAAGAGTAGAAGGTAAGCCGTAGCATCTTGTGATCATTACCGGATTGGCTGTCTCAAATGTCATTTGTGTGACGGGAATCCCCAGTGTGAATACCAAAGCAAGCATCTTTGTCCACCTAGTTGGTATGGTAACCCACTGAATCCAGCCAACAACTCCGACAGTGACCTAGAAAACTGTATGAAACAATGAGCATGGTTGTGGTGATCCAGTGATTTTCGGTCAATCGAAATCAAGCATGATTATCTTTAACCAATGTGGTACCACCGGAGCGAAACCAAACACCGAGGTAAAAATAGCAATATCCTTGGCTGTACCTTTCGGAGGAGTGTAAATGCAGTCGAAAAGAATCCTAGATGAGGCTGCAACGAGTGACGGCCATAGAGATTCAGGGATTTTGCTTAACTGTGAGTCGTCAAAAAAAGCTCGACTGCGAACTTTCGATGGAGACATATGATACTTCCACCTCCATTCTTTGTACCGCGATCTTTTCGAAAGATGTGACAGTTAGGAATATCTGAAGTAAAATCCAACGTATCAGCATTATGTGGGGCGCTTTACTGAGCAAGCAAGCTTAGAAAATGATACTTGTTGCTTATAGGTCATGAATTAACTAGGACAAGCGAATATGTGTTGTGTATACACACGCTTTCCGTGGGCACGTTAGATAAATGGGAAACAAGAATGACGGGCACACAATTTAAACAATGGATTGCTAGAAACGAGACATTGATAGCATGCTCGGATGTAAGCACATTTGTGCGTCATTGAGCCTAAGTGGTCCAGAGGCAATGTTCGGATTTGCCTGGTACTGCGCTAGTCGTGTCATGGGAACGAACTGCAGAATGGAATTAGATGGCTTCTGCTGGGGCTACCAGTGGTTGGAATGAATGTAGAACAACCCCAATTTTGCTAACAAATAATTATAGTAAAAAGGGGAATTGTTGTGCGCTACAATATAGTGGTGTATGATATGCGGTATTGTCAGGTGGCATCGCATTTTTTGTTTTTCACTTTTTGGCTAGGAATGGTGGAAGACTGGAGCCCGAGAGATAAGCAGTTATGCTGAAGGTTGGTAGGCAGGTGTAGCCATAATACCATTGCCACGGATTCTAAGAGACTCGGAGTAGCACGTTGCGCTGTGATGGCAATGGAGTTGTTGACACGGAGCTACGAACGCTGCCGAATTTTGCATAGCTGCATATTTCGTGCGAGTACCAGTCGTCGAGTTTTTAAGGTAGACCATGAGCGATAGTTTTGTGTTGACTACACCAGATCGCAAATCTGGGGACGCACTTCGGCGCCCGTGTTGATTTACCGGAATCATTATTTAGATCGTACCAATTTGCTGTTCGCTATCATTGACACACTGTAGTTATTAAACCGGGTGTGTAATGAGCGCCGAAATCGCGCTCAGGACTACTGGTGTTTATTGCTTTAATTGTAGTGAAACAGAACTTTATGCAAGTATCGGATGTTACCACTCCTTGATACAAGTTGTCCAGGTCCACGTTGATAACGGAAATTGTCCCACTTGATGTACCCATTTATGCGGTTTATCAACACATCTGCTCCCCTTTTTTCGGTATTCTCAGTGCAACTCTAAAGATGGATCGTTGCAGACGCGTACGATGCGGTTTAATCAGCATATCTTTGAATTGGGTGCGCTCAGTAATAATGTGTTTGCCGTCTGTCGGTTGTTTGTCTGAAAATTTAAGAATGATCGGAGGATTTTGTCTGAGTTTTCTTTTTAAAAACGCAAACATTTACAAACGACCTCAGATATTTTACAAGCGCTTAGTACTGTCGCTTTGCGGATTCCAAACTAAATAGGTCCGTCACATTTTTTATGTAAGGGTTTTCTTTTATGTACTTTTGAAGCGAGGAAGTCGATTACATGCCCCGCCTTTCCCAGTCGAACAGGGTCAAGAATTTCAGTGACTTGCTGATGTAACCCAGTGAGAAAAAGCGATCTTTCTTTAGAAAGCCAACACTTTCTTTACTTCGTCGAGCTCTAATCGCAAATAGCAAACTTTAGCGGTAAGTTCTGATGTGACCTTAGAGACTGGGGAAGAATTCTATATCATTTTTCTGTCAATCGTATCCATAGCGCCTTCAGATTCCACCTAAAGAAAACCATGTTCCCGCATAGAACTCTCAAAATGGTACATATCACTATCCAATCGAATCCAACAAACGCGAACGCTCATAAGTTCGTATTGTTCACTGAGTGACCAATTCAAAAATGCCAACAGTACATCAGAAAAATACACAAAAAAGGATGAATGTGAATACTAGCCAACAAATTAGGCGCTGCAGACAAGTTGAGTAGAAATGTTACACAAAAAATTCACCAAGCACCAGACACACTAATCAGGATAGATACGTAGAAGCTATTTGAAAGTAAATGGATTTACCTAGTGACGAAAAGAAAAAGCGAATAGTTAACTGGAAATCGATGCTAAATACGAGATCAGGTGTTTGGTATTTTGCATAGATGTCCAGAAGCATCAATCGCGACAGTTATGTCGGGGCACTTCACAAACATCACCAGCGACAAGTTTACAACCAATGCGATACTGTATCCCTATGGTAACTCACCTGTGGGCAACAGAAGCAAGAAATAGCACACCCAATAAGACGTAGCCCGCGTTCGAGATAATGTTGTTGAAAGCGGTGAAAATCCCCAAAGGACGAGCACATTCAAAGTTATAGTAGCATAAGTCTTCGTTACCGGACGCAACAAGAGCCTGAATAAAAAAAGCAAAAACTCCACATGAAGACGGAGAAAGTAAAAATTCGTAGGAACAGGTGGTAAAATTGAAGTGCTATAGAAGTTAGCCGAACAAAACTAAGTAGGGCTTAATTTAACCAATCTTATCACCGAAAGTAAGGGGAACACAATTGGTATGACTAAGCGCGAAGAACCACCACAAACAGGAGCAGAGATTGGCACACGAATATGTTTTGATAAACGCTATAACCGCAGCGCGACAAATAATTAGGTACATTAGTTAAAGTCAAATGATGTGGAATGAGTGTTCCGGATACACGATGAGATGCCCGGAAATGAGGAGTGTGGCAGGAGGGAAAATCGGCGCATGAAAGACCGCATAATGAATACGAACGACCAAGGAAGTTGGAGACCAAAAGAGCATGTCGTGGAAAGCGTAAAGCTACTGACTACTGAAATTATCCGCTCAAGTTCACGAAGCACAGTAAAATAGAAACGGACATAATCAGTAATATATGGTTATCTCGTTTCACAATCGTCATTTTTATAAAAAGCAATCCGGTGGCTTTGCAATTTCCATTGCCCCGTTTACGTTTCAACTGAGACGGGTTTTCGTCGGCCCTATGAACTAGTCATCACACTGACCTTAGCTCTAGTCCATGGATATCATACTGAGGACCGCTCGAGGAACGCGCGGGTCGCATTCATTGCCATGAAGACCGCATACGACTATATAGACTTCAAAGAGTAACCTTTGTACGGGTCGCATGCAGAAGGGTGCATGGTTGACATGTCTGCTCTAGTCAGTTCGCTCAGTCCTTGAGTACCCGAGGATTTGCAGCATTCGTTCCAACGCGGAGAGTGTCCATGAGCGGTGTATGCAGACTTTTGTTCTCATTAGTGCAGTTAAAAAACCCATGCAAGGCCGCCAGCTTGAAAGTGCGAAGCCTTCATTAGCTGCCAGAGGCGTGATTCTCCGGCACTGACATAGTGCTCCGGAACTTTGACAAGCAGCGATAGTTTTAACTCTTACAAGGCTGCGCGTGGCGTGACTCAAGATCCCAACGAGAAGCCGCAGAGGATCTTAGGAAGTAGACATGCACTTCGTTGAATTGCGGAGGATATAATTTAGTCGAAGGTCCTTGTTAAAGCCCACCAAACGAACCTGAATGTAAGCAACTGCGTTGCGAAGTAGCATTGAGTAAAGAGCCTAAGGAAGAGCAACCCCAAAGAAACACTTCTTTCGAAATAGACTTGCAAAGGGTATCATAACAACACAAGACACCAATAGGCATTAGCACTGCTTTTCGCTGTCAAGAACGACATAGGTCGCTCGAAGGCTGGTGATATTGCTAAGTTACCCGTATCTACACATTACAACCGGCAACCTGTGGAGTACAACGCAAATGCCTTATCCCTTCGGCAATCGCCCGTCGCCAACAACCATTTGCCTCTCCTATTTTCTTTCAGTTCGGAAATTTTCATAGTGTCAAATAGTAAGAGAGAACACAACTGACTTCGTTAGAGACGCTAGAAAGAGAGTAGGGTTACCTTTCAAACTAAGGGTGCCATTCCACATTACGTCTTTAGACGTCCCATCACCATGTCAAGTCGGTCAGCAAGAGACACCCGATATGAGTTTGTACTACACCGGAGTTAATGTGCTCATTAAGGCCAAAACATGCATGCAGACAGTGTCGCAATGCATCCAGGATAATAAACAGGATCCTAGTGACTTTACCCCGTCGCAACGAGACTGGACCTTAACGTGGTGCGACGGTTTGCGGGCCTCATTGACCCAGTGAGCTATACTGGGTGATGCCTCCGGGCACCTTGAGAGCTACTCCTACCAGGTTGGTCAATGGTGAGAGGTCAGACAAACTCAGTCTCCTGGTCCTCCAGGTTGGGGGTTTGAAATGGAATGGCATCCATTTCTGTAAAACTAATAATTGCCACCTCCCCGCTGTCTTGCGGACAGGCTTTTGAGCCAAAGGCTTTGGATGAGGACCCTAATCGTCCTCCTGTCTAGGTCTGGGCACCCTGGCAGTATCTCAGCCCACATACAACCATGACATTTTCTTCAAACATAAACTTCATCCTGCATCGGCCGTCACGCAGATTATCAAGGGTCGCCTTATCTGCTGCATACAGCAGAGCGGATAAGCGAAAACATGATACTGCTGGCGCCTCCCTTCTTCATTTTCCACCGTTTTCTCTTACTCCCATCCCGACCCCCATTACTAACCTTCCTTCTATAATTCCCAGCGTAATTGACAGCAACCAAAGTGCCACTGGAGTAGAACCATCTGCAGCCACTATCCCACAGCACCTAGCAGCAAAAGTCCCTTATAAGTTCACGCTATCCCGTTTCCATGGCGACATTCGACGTTCGCACTCTAAGACAAACAGGGCAACAGGCTGTACTCTCACACACATTGGACACACTGGGTATTGATGTGTGTTGTGTGTCCGAAACTAGGATCAATGACACTAATGGGGTCGTTTAATTAACTGCACCTGGCTTATCCTCTCGTTATTGGTTGCACGCATCCGGAGACGCCGATGCAGCACTCACGGGTCAAGCTGGTGTAGGTATCATTCTAAGCTCCAAGACTGAGCCATCGTTGGTTGATTGGATTGCTGTGAACAGCCGTCCATGTGCAGCCCGTTTGACGACATCAGCTAAGGTGGATTCACGAAGTATTACAAAACGCTGTTTGTTTGTGATTTCCGTTTATGCTCCCACTGACTGCAGTTCTAACGCTGTCAAGGACACATTCTATGACGAACTGAACGCGGTAGTACGCAGTGCTACTAGTTCAGATATTATAGTACTTGCAGGGGATATGAACGCACAAGTAGGGCGTCTGAGCTCTTCAGAAGCTCAGCTGGGTGGTAAGTATGGACTTAACGCCGAACGGACTGACAACGGTGAGCGTCTGCTGCAACTGTGTGCGGAGCACCAGTTGTTTCTTAGTAGCACTGCTTTTAGACACAGGGAGCGCCGAAGTGCCACTTGGCGTCCTCCTGTAGCTGGGCAGCGATGGACCCAAATTGACCACATAGGCATAATTTACAGATGGCGTGGTTCCATCCTGGATTGCCGCTCGTACTGGAGTACCTGTATCGACTCTGATCATGCCCTGGTACGCTGTCGTTTTTCCATGAACTTTACCGGGAGGCGCATCAAGCGTCCCCTACGATTGGCAACGGAAAAATCGTCGCACTCCTCGGTCAGGCAAGCCTATCAAGACGCACTGCATACGGAACTTCCGCTGTCTTGTCCTAATGACACTGAGCTTCAGTAGAATAGGATCTCGGCCGCCATGCACGACGCAGGAGCATGTGCTTGTGGCACTATCCATCGTCACCGCACCAGTCACTGGATATCCGAGAGGTCGGTGAACCTGTTGGAATCTAGAAGGCATCTCCTGGCTGGCTCTGAACACAATGTGACCAGACGCGCTATTAGGCGTGAACTAAAGCAGAGCCTACTTGCTGACAAGGAAGACTGATGGACCAGTCGGGCTCAAGAAATGGAGGAAGCAGGAGCAGTAGGCAATTACCGCAAGCTCTTCCAGCTAATCCGCACCACTGGTCCCAGAAAACCAGGCGTCAGTGAGACAATCATAGACAGCGCGTGTACGCTGATACACAGTAAGGAGCGCCGTATGGCTGGTTGTGCGGAACATTTTCAAGATAAGTTCAGCTGGCCACCTACTCCCGGACCTCCTCCTACTCAGGTGATGCAGGGTGAGCCATGGACGGTTAGTTTAGAGCCTCCGTCCGAGGCTGAGGTGCGAAACGCGATCACAGCCCTCAATCGTTTTCGTGCCGCTGACCCGGATTCTTTCCCACCTACACTATTTAAGAATGGAGGTGAGGTCCTCTGCAAAGCACTGACGACCTTATTCGAACGTATCTGGAAGCAAGACAGTGTCCCGGCTAATTGGAGCGAATCGATTATAGTGGCAATATACAAGAAGGGCATTCGCACAGACTGTTCTAGTCACAGGGGTATTAGCCTAACGCCAGTTGTGACAAAATTATTGGCCTCGGTTATCGTTCGTCGACTCATTGCGGAACGGAAATCTCGGGTTAGGGAAGAGCAGGCTGGTTTCCGCCCAGGACTTGGCTGTATAAACCATATACTCACTTTGCGGCAGGTACTAGAGCAGCACCACACATACCGCAGACCGATAATAGCTGTATTCCTCGATTTCAAGAGTGGTTCGATTCAGACAATCGATCGATTCTGTTCGAAATACTTGCGGGGAAGAGTGTTCCAACAAAATATGTGAACATCTTCCGTGCTCTATACTCGAGCACTACAGGCCGCGTCAGGGTCTACGGTGTCCTATCGGATAGCTTTCCGACCACAAGTGGCGTTCGTCAGGGTTGTCCGATTTCCCCGTTTTTGTTCAATTTCGTCGTGGATTCTATCATGGATAGTTCCCTTGCGGAACCTCACGATGTAGGCGTTGATGCGCTGCCTGGTGAAAGGTTAGTTGATCTAGATTATGCGGACGATATCGTCTTGCTTTTCGACGATGTTGAGGCGGCACAATCAACCCTGAATAGCCTGTCCGGAGTGGTCCCATTATTTGGTATGCACTTCGCACCTTCAAATTGCAAAGTGTTGCTGCAGGACCACCATCCACTTGATGACCCCTTGACGCTTGCTCGAGGTATTTGATCATTTCACTTATCTTGGCAGTTGCATTAGCAATGATGGGCGCATAGAAACTGACGTCAGCTCATGCATTGCAAAAGCCAGATCTACCTTCTTGAACCTTCTGCATCTTTAGCGACAGAAGGGAGTTTCCCTCCTTCTGTAATGCCGGGTGTACAAGGCCACAGTGAAGGCCGTTCTGCTCTATGGTAGTGAGACTTGGCCCCTTCGGTCTGAAGATCTGAGGCGCCTTCAAGTCTTTGATCATCGTTGTTTGCGAAGCATTGCTAGTGTGCCTAGGCGAGTACTAGCTGGTGATAGTCATGCTAGCTCCATAGAACAACAGATAACACTGAATACGTTGCGTTGGCTCGGGCATGTGCTACGTATGCCTGGTCACCGCTTACCTAGAAGGGCCTTGCTCAGTCTACCAGGTGTAGAGTGGTGCAAGGCTCGAGGTAGACAGAAGTTGACTTGGCAGCAGAAAATGAAGTCACTGACGACCAAACTGGGTGCTGTTGGTTCGTCTCGCCTTCCGGGCTGAAGTCCAAGTGTCTCGCCTTGTGCTTGGCTCGAGACTTTACAGGACATGGCTCGCAGTAGACACCAGTGGCGCGTCTGCTGCCGTCTCTTAGTCGGCTTGCTTGTTTAAAGTGCGTTTGGTGCTGAGTTATCTGCGGGTTAATGGCTGATTATGACGCGCGGCAATGAACGCAAGGAAACTGTCTCGCCGAACGCGCCTTATCATTGCACGATAGCCAGCTGTTTGTGACGGTATGTTGTCTACACAAGGTGTGGGCGCCTTGACTCTGAATGTTTGCTTATGGCATTAAGGTTTTCAGGTAAGCCCCCTTCTCTCCATCTTCTTATTCTTTATTTCATAGGTCATCATGGTTGTATGGCAGCGAAGCATCAGTTCAAATGCCTGATGTACTGCTGTTGATGATGATGAATGACTTTACCCCTAGTGATGCCGGGTCAATAACGTACTGTATTCCAAGTGCTAGAGTCGTTTTCAGAAGGTGCTCACAGCCAGCTATTTTAGACTGGATACCAGTGAACATGTGACTTCCAAGCTCTGTCGGGTTTAATAACCTGGGGAAAATGTTAGACGCATTTGCCTCAGCTCGGTCTAACTTACCAGTGAACGTAAGCCGGAGGCTATCGAATTTATCAACAGCTCTTTTAACCTATTCGGATTGCCAAGCACATACATTATGGCTATCAAGGTCGCCCCGGTCGCTCCGATTGGCTGTTCGCTGAAATACCTGCCCGCCCCCAATTGGCCGATCCAAAAGCCAGGTCGTAAACACGGTGTAATGGCCGCCAGACACGAGGTGATTACAGAGGGCAAAGTACCGATATTTATTTGTTCGTAGCGATCTTCCTGATGTTTACGTTCATGTCATTCATTTGTGGTGTATTAGCCTGATGAGGAACCAATGAAAACGAGCTTGTTCGCTAACATTTGTTCTTCTTTACTTACTAACAATATAATTAGAATTTGCCAGAACATTCGATTGATT